TCACAGAAAGCCCCGCCCTAAAGCATCCCCTGCTTTATGGTCTGTTTGACTCTAAATGGACCATAATTTACTAAATGAACATCATGCTGTATTGAAGAAGACTTGTAACTAGAGATTGAGACCATAAACTCATGTTTACGATGCTACAATGATTAGCGCAGCTTTAATTTTGCATTGCACTCCTACAATATCTGGCTTGATGCTGCAAAAGAGTGCAATCAGACATTGCAATCTGGCCATTGACTGCAAATAAGAGATAACTTACTGCAAATCAGTGCACGTTATCAGCTCTGAAAGAACATAACACCCTCCGCACGCCTCACCTTTGACCCTCCACATACAAACCCATCTCCTCAAGATCAAATGGGTTCAGTGTCAGTGAGAGCGCTGTAGTTGAACTTCTTTTTTCATACTCTTTGAAAGCAAACTGTATTGATTGCGGCTGCAGCTGAGAGACAGCCGCTGTTGATGTCTGCGATAAAGAACAGAGAGGTATTAGAAGGCAACTCAAGATCAATTTCCCATTTCCCGAACATAAATAATGAACTGCGTGCGGTGGCTGTAACCTCGATACAAATCAACCTGCAGCTTTGCATGAAGCAACAGTAAGAAGCTCACAAGCGGAAACTGTTTTATCTTCAGTTCCCTAATCTTGAATGATTTTCCTGCAAAAAAAAAAAAAAAAAGGGCTTTAACTATAAATTGTGCTGCATTTGAATCAACAGAATTTTCTCCCTTGAACTTTGTCTCTTGATATGAAACCAGAGAGGAATCTCTCCACCGCAGGCCCCCCGGGGAAAAAGAAATTCAAGGAATGAACTGAGGTGCAGGCGGCTCAGGTAATGGGCACTCGTCTCCGTCCTCTATCTTCCCTCCATTACAGTGAGTGATCGCTGTAGCCCGGCTTTGTTGGGAGGAAATGAGGAATGAAAAAGAAAGCGCAGGAGACTCTTTAAGTGCATCCAAGGCGTGTGCACGAACTCTCCTGCCGGCAATATGACGACGTACATACATGTATAGCATGTTGACAATGCACGGTGTGAGCCTGGACTTGTTATCATACAAAGACACGCACACACACACACACACACTGTTCTGGAAAAATTATCAGGCGGACCCTGTCCTCTGGTACACACACACACACACACACACACACAGAGGGCAGTGTATATAAAGGGTTGAGCATGAACTGCCTCTCTTAGTGTGACAAGCAGACCTAAAGGAAAACTACTACCTCCACTCACCAACCAGTAAACAAAAATGCCCGCCGACTACAATGGACGCTGGGAGATGGTGAGCAACGAGAACTTCGAGGAGTTCATGAAGGCCCTCGGTAAGTTGCCCCTCTTACAGCATGGCATAGAAAGGGGGGGGGGGGGTGGGGGGGACTGTGGCTTTGTTACCCCTCATTTAAATCAAGAGGCAATTAAAAGGTTGCGTTTAAAGATGCAGACAAGTAGGGACAGAGGCCAGAGCAGAACATTTGGAGGGAGCGTGACAGAAAGAGAGAGAGAGAGAGAGAGAGAGAGAGCAGCAGTGTGAGGGAGGAGAAAAGAAGAAGAAGAAGAAGAAGAAGAAGAAGAAGAAGAGGAAGGCTGTGGCACTGCTTCATTTCCTCATTGAGCTGCTGTCAGGCCAAGTTAACCTCCGCTCCGTGAGCGGTCGCCGTCTGTTACCGCACCAAATACATATTGATTCACTGCTCTCTGCATTTTCATCTTCCTGATCCGCAGAAAAGGAAGACGGATTCCGACCCTGGATCAGGCAGCGGGCCAGCTCGTCATTTAAAATAAAATTTAAAAAAAGATGGAGAGAGAGAAGAGAGAGAGAGACCATCGCCCGGCTCTCCTCCCTTTTGACGCGTCATTGATCAGGCCCAGAAACACTTTCATTATTCACGACTCATATCTGCAATTCATAAAACAACCCCGGTAGACTCGGCTCACACATAAATCCGGGGAATCCTGAAAGCCTCCCCGCTCATTTCCATCGAGCGGATGGGAAAATGACATCCTTATGGAAATGGGTCAAAAATATTATTTAGATGGGTAAATATAGGGGGGCCTCGTCTGTAAGAGACGATGGGAAGAAATTGAATTTTCACGTTAAGGCAAATGGGATGTGAATATCTAAACGGTCGGGGTGGGTGTCTCTCGCGGGCCCCGTGCCGAACAGGGGCGGAGGAACTCATTTGACTTGGAGCGAGGTCATTTTTTAAAGGGTAAATGAGACTGTCAAGAAGGACCAGTAGGAGAGGAATCATAATAAGAGGCCCGGGGCGCCGTATGTGTGTCTGTGGATGTGTGCTTTGGCGTGTCTGTCTGAAACATAAGCCAGCTACACACCAAAGAATATGATTCATCCTGCTGCCACTGATCCGATTCCCTGTTTCTTCACGCCCGCAGACATCGACTTCGCCACCAGAAAGATCGCCTCCCACCTGCACCAGACCAAAGTGATCGTCCAGGACGGAGACAAGTTCGAAACAAAGACCCTGAGCACCTTGAGGAACTACGAGGTCAACTTCACCGTGGGAGAGGAGTTTGAGGACCAGACAAAGGGCCTGGACAACCGAAAGGTCAAGGTGGGACAGTCCTCTTGTATTTTATACCGAACTACACCAGGGAGGTGCTCTTAACGATGACAGGTATATACAGTTGTAGTTATAAAACACTGTTTTTGAGTAATAACCATTTAACCACTTATCAGACGCTGGTCATCTGGGATGGGGACAAGCTGGTGTGTGTTCAGAAGGGGGAGAAAGAAAACCGTGGCTGGAAGCACTGGATCGATGGAGACATGCTACACCTGGTGAGAGAAAAGCGTGACACGTTGGCTGAACCGTGGGAAAGATGTCAAATGTTTGCCAGGAATATTAGATGTCCCTGTGCGGTCCAAATTCAGTCCCTTTAAATTGGCTCCAGAACTTAAACACAAAGCAAGAAAATTAAAAAGAATATGAAAACTCGTTCTACCTTCACTTGCTTTAATATTTCCCAACCATCAATTAAATCAGACTATCGCAAGAACAATAAACCAAATAATCTATCGCTATCTAACACGCATAGACGTGAGCTCACCCTGATTGTGTAACTAAGAAAGACATGTGTTGAATCAGGTTGGACTCGCAGTCTAAAGGTCTGTGTTTTCTCTCTCAGGAAATCACCGTGCTCGACAAAGTCTGCCACCAAGTATTCAAGAGGGCCTAATGAGACGAAGGAGAACCTCATCTGTGAAAACAGCCTGTCGAGTGTTGCACGTGGCTGCCTATTTATGTAATTGTGAATACCTGTAATAAATTTCCTCAATACCATTGTTGTTCTTTAACTGTTGTTTTTTATAAATAATATTAAAATATGTATTACAATGGAATCGTAGCGACCACCGACCACACAGAAGGGCCGTGCAGCCCGGGTCAAACCACGGTCCCTCTTGCTGTATAAAAATTTAAAAACATATATATATATATATATATTTTTTTTTAATTATTTTAATATATATATATATATATAGGGTTAGGGTTTATATATATATATATATATATATATATACACACACATACAAATAATGATAAAAAACTACGCTACTACACTTTCACTTAATTTCTATCACTATATATATATATATACACAGTATATACATACATATAATTGATCATTTATATATATATATTTTTTTTTTTTTAAGACTAGGCACATATATTATTTCATACTTTGAAACATACCTTTATACTGAAAATATTCTCTTAATTGAAAATGCAGTCTCTGATGATGCAATGCAATAAAAAGTCAAATAGGAAGTAGTTTCATTTCGACCCGAAATTCTCTGAAAGATTTGCATTAGACCAAAGACCAAAAGGCCATCTGCATTCGTTCAGTAAATTGTAGAGATTTAGAGTCAACAGTAGACTTGCTGGGTTGCAGCCTTCTTTTCAGTTTTTGAGGTGCAGCACGCGCTAACAGGTACAACATGTTCTGCCTCTCTGCCGGATCTTGAGCTTCTCTCACAGGAAGCGCTGGAGGATCCACGTCGCCAAAAAGAGCTGCGCACAAGTCACACAGCGACAGAGAGATTTCAACCGGAAACGGGGCGTATTCTCTTCAAAATAAAATAAGACAGTAAAATCATAAAAGTAAGGGATGTTTTTTGAGTTTTTATATATTACATTATATTGTTGGGTCCAACACTTGTTAGTTAGTGGTCACCACAAAATTAGAGCTTTGGTAGACCACTACATTCACATACAAAGACACACCTGCAGCTTCTTCTCTGCTGCAGCTGCAGATTCATCTCCTTTATTCTGTTCCCTTCTCACAGTTTATCAGTTTATCATTCATCTTTTTCATGTGACTTTTGTTTTTAACCCTGAAAAAAAAAAGAAAATACTCAAAAAAGTACATGTAGACAAAAAAACATAACGAGATCAAATGTTGCTCTTCTTTGAACTGTGTGCATAAAGAGCTCGTGGAGGCTGGAGTCACCTTTATTGTTTGCATACTTGGCAAAAGAGGAGTCTGATTGCTACAATTAATTCCCAGCTAATTATCGGAATCAGCTTTATTGGCCATGTATGCGTATGTATGCGTACGCATACATGGAATTTGACTCAGGTTTTCACATTCCTCTCAACGTACATATAATATATAAATAAACAAGAAAAATATAAAAACAAGGACATTAAAGACAACAAAGTAGAACAGAGAAACTAAGCATAAACATTTAACATTTAACTACAATGTAAAATAGAAATAGAAATATGAACATAAAGAACAACAACAATGACAATGGACAATGTATTTGGGATATTAGTGCAGAATGGTGGTAATAGTGCAGATACTGCAACAATAATAATGGTGGAAACTACAAAATAATAGATTTTGTTATAATAGATTAAAATGTTTAGTTTGCCTTCGGTATAGTTTTCTGTGTAGCTTTGAGATTTATTGTGGAACTAAACACCGGAAGTCGTTGTGTTTACTCTTATTCACTTGGTCACAAAACTTTCTCCGCAGAGTTCCCACAGAGGAAGCCCGACGAGGGCTACAGGGACGCCGGTCATTTTTCTGGACATCAGCGCAGAGACTCACTGACGTGGAATCATGGTAGGAGCAGAAAAACACACGAACTACTTCAGCAGAACTTTGTTCATGTGTTGGCTGCTGTTTGGGATCTCTTTGGTCAGCTGGACGCGGAACCGTGTTGCGTTCAATAACTACCCATAAAGCTCAGTGTGAGAGAATTGGAAACTCCATTCAAAACACACAGTATGAGTAATAGCTTCCGTGCGACAGCAACAGAACTCTAAGAACTGCTAATATTTTAAGATAATATAAGTTAAAAAAAAAAAAAAAATGAGAAAAACTTTATTCATACGTTGCATGACAATGTTTTTGTTTATGTGAGTTTTTTTTAAACATGACTCCATCAGATTAAAAGTAAACAAATGAAAAGGTTGCGTTTTTGTGTTTTGACGTGATTAGACTTGAACGGACTCATTCTGAAGCAGCCATGCTTATGAAATGTGGAATGAGAAGTATCAACAGGCACACCCCCCCCCTTCCTTCACTGTCTCCAAAACCTGAGATAAAACACAATGCAACAGTTTATTTACAATGTGTCCACCTTACAAGATGAACGTCACTGAAGTGTCTAAAATGCAAAACCTGCCTGCTTTTTGAATGTTTTTTACCGTCTTCTGTCAAATAACATCCACCATTGTTGAGATGAGCTGATACATTTCCTGTTTAAACTGATGCAGATAATTTCTTTTGTTTAATCCACATCCTTTCTATTCATCCCCTCGTTTTATATTATAGCCTCTGCGGCTGGACATCAAGCGGAAGCTGACCGCCCGGTCAGACCGGGTGAAGAGTGCCGACCTGCACCCCACTGAGCCCTGGATGCTGGCGAGCCTCTACAGCGGCACCGTGGTGGTCTGGAACCACGAGACGCAGGTCACTACCGGCCATCTACACGCTCCTCTGATCACTCAATCATTTCATCTTTAGTCTGTATTATAACGTTAATCTGGTCTGACTCCCGTGTGTGTGTGTGTGTGTGTGTGTGTGTGTGTGTGTGTGTGTGTGTG